ATTTAATTTTAGTACATATTTTCATGTGACTGCTATTGCAATACATTCATTAAGTCATGATTATATACAGAAAATTTTGGAAAATACTACCCGGTAACTTCTACACCTTTAAGGCTTTCGAAGCTTTAAATGCTTTCAAAACATGCGTTTAACAAATGCTGCATTGCAAGGTCTGTTTTCATTTTTATTTGTAAGTCATGTGTTAAGTACTGCCAATTTACCAAAGAGCTCTCTTAGCTTTATAAAAGATTCGACTACGAGTATTGCCGAGATCAAAGAAATGCCGCGGACAATATTTGCAAATAAATTACGAACGTCATTAAAAATTATCAGATCAGAAACACGTTTCAAACCTGTGCAGTTGAAATGTACATTTGACTTAAGAATGAAATACTTATTTTGACCACATTATGTGTCGTCTGTTGCAATTTAAACACTGTATATCGCCAAAAGTAGCTGATGAATGTAGGTTTCTAAAGCCAAGCGGGACTGTTTCACGATCCTCCCTACGCCATATTTAAACTCCAGGATTTTAGTGATAATATGAGATTATTTTAGTTAATTATTTAAAATTACGAGGAAATGTTTTAGCTATATAATAAAGGAGTTATTGAACTTATATTGGTGAAAACTGGCACTCGTTGGCTGTACAAATGCCCTCGCAAGCTCGTGCATTTGTACATATACAGCTAACTTATATTCACCAATATTCACCAATATAATTTCACCTGACATCGAATTATCATTCATAATGATCAAGAGTTTCTATCATGTAATTTACGTTATTGGAAATAAATTGTCATAAATATATTTGCATGGATTATTATTACTTTTATTCGTAGTGTACTAAACGGCGCCTCCTTCACATGTCCTATGGAACTGTTCTCATCCGGTTACTTAGCTTTGCCACTTTCAGCATGTCACATTTTTGCCCTTCCCAGCATAGCTTTGGTAAATGATGACCTGTTGATTGTTTGCAAATTGATTCTATCCATTAAATAAAACATGTGCTTTTGTTAACCTTTATAACATACGTTTTATTTATGTCAACCCCCTACAGAATTCCAAACGGGAGATCACTCTCAATGACTGTTTTTGTATGTGAAGAGACTTATGTATCAAACCTTTTGTTTCTTTTGTTACTGTTAACCTTGCTGAAGTTTTAAAGAAGAATACACACATGTACAACAGAGAATGTTTAAAACACTTTTTATTTACAATATAATAACCACAGTAATCAAAGATACATCATCTTAATCAACAATTATTTTAAAACAATAAATTTTTACATTCCTTTTTTTTTTTTTACTGTCAATGTTTGTGATTGGGCAACACAAAAAGGCCAAGGTACTGGTTATCTTCAAAAAGCAGTTAAATATATCCTTGTATGTTAGATCATATAAAATGCTATTAAAGTTAATAGAAAATATTTGCAAGTCTAATTTACCTGGAACACCTTTTACGTAATTTTCAAATACTTCCGGTAAACTGATTGATTGATTGATTGTATACTGTTTAACGTCCCTCTCCAGAATATTTCACTGATATGGAGACGTCACCATTGCCGGTGAAGGGCTGCAAATTTAGGCCAATGCTCGGCACTTACGGCCTTGGAGCAGGGAGGGATCTTTATCGTGCCACACCTGCTATGACACGGGGCCTCGGTTTATACGGTCTCACCCGAAGGACTGCCCCATTTAGTCGCCTTTTACGACAAGCAAGGGGGTACTGAGGACCTATTCTAACCCGGATCCCCACGGGGCTCCGGTAAACTGTAATTTCAACATGATGATTTTTTTCTTATATCGATTTCTTATACATAAATGTTAGTTCAACTCCAAGTAACTTTAATTTTGAAATGTTCAACTCCAAGTATATTTACACTCCAAAAGATCGTACATCTTTCAAATTGTACATCTACAAAAAATTCAATCTCCAAATATAATTTTGTTGTAAACTCATTGTATAAATTTCTTCAACTCCAAGTAATTTTCTTACCCAGTTATAAAATCCTCAATTCCAAGACAATTCATGAATCAATATAAACATATACTCAATCTTTGCAATTTTTGTAACATATATATTCCTATGGTGTTTAAAATGTTCACTGTAAAATTTACACAATGCTTCTATTTAGTTCACTCTTATTGTGTGTTCAAATACAAAATAAATTAATAAACTTTGTCTCAATCATTGCCAAAACTCATGCTTACTTACAATTTATACTATGAGTACAGCGGCACGCACCTACTTCTAGCATCAATTGTGAAATGACATGGATCTAAACCTATATCAGTAATTTCGTTCACAGAAAAAATGAGGGAAAGATTGACCGGTATTAATTCATTTAATGAAACTGATACAGTAAAACTCGGTTATAACAAAGTCGCTGTGACCTTTGAAATCATTTCGCTATAACCGTAATTCGTTATAACCGTATAAGAAATTCATTAAATTTATATAGGTGGGGATCCAAAATGACTTTGCTGTATTCGTAAATTCGCTATATCCGTGTTCGTACAAAACGAGTTTTGCTGTAATAGTAAAAGTATGATTAAAACCGCAAATCGCGATTAAAGGATTAACGGGATCTAGGCCTTTTGTCAAAACTAATGTTTACAAATAATTAAGCATGGCGGCACACGCGTCCGATCTGAAATTCTAATCATGCAAAAAACATTTAAAAACAAACATGAATCTACGATGTAAAAATGTACAATTTTGTGATAACGGGGACAATGACTTGAAAACGAATACCTGTTAATGCTATTTTTCTCACAAAAAATGCATTTCATTTCATGATCTGTCCGCTTTGATGAATTTCAAGAAAACTACTTTTGTATATCGGAAGTTTCTTCTTGAACGCTGTTTGGCTTTCTGTTTACATTGTCTATTTATAGTAACTGAGGCGATCATGGCGCCTATAGCCACCGCTATGCTTTTAGCTAGCCCGGCTAAAAAGAATGTATGTCAAAAGTTATTTTCGTACATATTTTGAATACGCTAAATTTTAAACAAAAGGAATAAAACCGTTATCTTAAGTATTCGAATGTATAAGATTTGACACGACTTGATGTCATTTTCAATTACCTCATCATACATTTGTAGATCATAAAAGTAAAGGAACAGAGCACACTGTGATTAGATGAAAATAAGCAATTTTATTTGTAAGTTAAGTTATCATTATGATCGATTTTAAATTAGTTAAATGAAAGTAAATGATAAGGATATTGAGATAACGAAAAGTATTCAATATCAAAGTCTATAAAACAATATAAATTAGGAACAGAACAAACATGGCCCTCAAAAACATCATAGGTGGGATCGAGTGCCATGGAGGAGTGAGCATCCTCGGTCGACCGGTCTCACCCGCTGTGTGCTCCTTGTCATGATCTATCGGGAAATAACGGAAAAATCAATGGTCAATTCAGTGAATAAATAATGAGCTAACAATTAGTATGAAAACGTCAGCATTAGACAAAATGATGACTTTAAACGAGACTGCTGAAATTCTTGTTTCATCAATTTATTTGTCAATAATTTATCTCCTTTTTAAGTGAGCAGGAATACCTTTCAAAGCATATGGTCCAGCCTTTGTTTATTCCACGTTTGTATATATTTATGATGAGATAACATACAAACAACAACAGTGTAGCATTAAGCTTTATTAATACGAACTAAGCGGATAAATGCGGTAACTTAGTTCAAAATGTATCTAAATATCTTGATAACAATATTTTCTAGCTCAAGATCAGTAGGTAAAGTATCAATGCATTACGCTATAGGAGAATCTCTATACTAGAGATTTAGAAGCTGACCTTATAGCTTATAATAGTAGGAACAAAACAAAATGTAAAATTGCTAAATAATAAGCAAGAGCTACGTTCTAATCAATTATTGCCGAATCCTATTAATATATGAATAATTGAAATGTTTCATTCAAATAATGTGAAATCTGACAACTGTTAGATTACGACGAAGTACTGTTATGTCTTACCATTACGTGATGAAACAAGCATATAAAAGAAATGATAATTTAATCATATATCGATAAGCCACTGTAATTAGCATTCTCAGAAGATCTCAGAATATGTCTTGATTGTTAGTCATGAATCTTCAAAAAGCCGTATTGACACTTTCTCTTCTTGTGTGCGAAATACCCTGAAATTTTAGGTTTCAAAAAATATTTAGTTATTAAATGATTTTTAAAAAATGATTATCTGAATAAAACCAGATTAAAACATAATATCATATAACATTTCTTTAAATTGTTTTTATTACCTTAACGAGGCCGAGTCTAATTATTTCAGCACTAGGGATTTTGATAATTTTTTGATAATTAATTTTCACTGTTATATTTATTGTTTTAGTGTTAAAAAATCGAATGTTTACCACCCCGATATCATAGCGGGCCATCTCCTAAGTTGTCAAAGTTTACTTTTGGAACCCTTTGGAATTTGTTGGAAAATCGCCAAACTATCACATTTCCCCCATATTCTTTTGTATATCAGCCCTAGGGATTTCTTTTTCATTCAAGTAGATGAAAGTTAATGTAAAAGTGTCACCAAATTGTGAAATTTCAAAAACGTTCACCATCTATGTTGGTCTAGGTAGTTATTACTAAGTTTATTTTTTTTCAAAGCCCGGTACCTCTAAAATTGCCATATTACAGTAAATATGTATTCTTTGCAGATGAATTATCGGCGCATATAATTTTTTGGTAAAATTAACAATTTTTAGATTGCTAGTATGTTTCTTGGGAAGTTCTGTCATTTTTTTGAATTTTGAGTATAATATCCATGGACGTCTTGAACATACAAGCGAGTCATGCGTCGTTCTACAGCGTCATGCATTGCTTACAAAATCAGAAAATGGTGGCGTTGTTAGAGCCATTTCAACGTTCTTTTTCCAATTATTTTCGTAAAAACACATTTTCAGATCAGGAGTTACAGATAATGTTAATTTTGTATTAAAATTAATATAATTTTAAAGATGTACTGTCACACAATTGACTGCATGAAAGTATAAAGCTGCGCACTCGAGTTAGACTCGGCCTCGTTAAGCTTAAAGTTAGTTTTTGGGAAACAATACAATTTACTACGTAAAAAATAGTGATTGTCTTTTTATTGACTTTTATATTGGTGGAAATTATCAGGAGATTCTTACTCCTCCATGGCACCTGATCTGACCTCTGTTATTTTATGTTAGCTTTCAATTTCCATTCCAATTTCTATTAATTGTTTCAGTGTACTTTTGAGATTAATTACTGTTTGTTATAAGCATAGACCATTAATATAGAGTAAAAATACCTGGATAGACTCCCCTTCTTTTTGTTTAATTAATAATTCTTCTCCATCAATTTTAATCTTTAATATCACAGAAAAAACTGTTATTCTCAGTTTATGGCATTTTCTCTCGATTCTATCCCTACTTCACGTAAAAGTATATCTTTATTTTGAGCTCTTATAATGTAAATGTATGCACAATTGATCTTTTAAAGTAAGAATAAATAATAATGCATTGCTTAATTTTTTCTTTTATCTGGATGTAAATAAAATTTTAGAAAATACTTTTGTTTGCCAAGTAAGTTGTTATTTTACATAAAATTTAATTAAAAGGAGGCATTTGATATGAATGAGAAAATAAATGTAAATCGCATTTCTTTTTATTTCTCAATATACACAAAACTCACTCTAGACGCTGAAGAAAACTCCTTCGTATTCGTAGACACCTTATTGCTGCTCAGTAGTGTATAAAACCTGCTTCTCCAGCCTTCTGAACCTTCTACGTGCATGCGGTCGCTGAGCAACTTTCTGATCTGTCGAATTATAAAGTATATTTTTAAATTTTAGTATCAATAAAGTGGAAGATAAACTGGTTTGAATCAGAGTCATTGTTTAACAAAAATATTTAAGTCCCGAAGATGCTTCTTTCATTTATTTTTGACATTGTAATTGAAAAGGTACTTATAAAAACATTAAATTCTTAATGTTAAGTAGTGTCCCTACCTTTTTATTCAGAAGACATTTGGAGATGAAAATAAAAAGTCCCTAAAGAGGAGATGACATTATCAACTTAGTATTTCTTACATAATCTTTGACTGGTTGATAATTGTATCGAAAAAATAATAAAAATATAAACTGAAAAGATACCTGAAAGGAGTTTAACAGAGCAAATATATACTGAAAGACGACCACGTCCTCATTAATGGACAAGAGGCCAAACAACCACGTGACACCCAGAACAGGTAACAGGACACAGATGGACTTTATTCCGGCTCTGAAACCATTCCGGTAATTTGCACATTTTACTTATCATAAAAATATATCTACATTAGAAAAAAAAATTTCCGCTAATTTACCATATTCTTGTTGAAAGCATAATTCTTGCCTTGATATACACGCGAATAATACTAAGTTTGATTTTTTTAAAGCTATATTTTCCGAAAATCCTGGATCTGTATTCAGTCTGACTTACAATGTCCTTTTCTTCAGTTTTCCTTCTGAGGAAATTGTTGAATATAGCGTCAGAATTAGACTGAATACAATTATGATATTGACCTAAAATAATAAAATAATTATTAATTTCTGCACTTCTGTTTCAATACAAAATATGTAAAATATTCAACTTACAATATCATCACAATTATAACTCTTTTAAATTGTAGAGCAGGAATTAATTACGTATTCAAATCAGGTAAACTGACAACTCCCTACCAAAATAATTCCAGCCACGGGTCCAATGAATCCATACAAAGCTCCACTTTCAAATGATAACCAGCAACTATAAATAATAATATTATACGACTTTCCCAGAAGATAAGAAAGCTTTATCTTATATGTGAAAATTAAAATCAAAGTGTTGAAATAGAGTTTCAGTACCTGGTTTGTGAATGATAGTCCTTGCCCGAGGAATATACGATTCCGAAAGTTACTGCGGTTATGCTAAGTGGTATAACTAAAAATATTTACGATTATCTTTATTCACATTCTAGATTACTTGTCACTAATATTGTTATCCATTCTATTTCTATTTTGTCAGACACCTAATGCTATACTCACCCGTGACAACTCCAAACGTGACTTTACTGGAAGCATTGACATGGCTTTGAAGTGCTGTTGCTTTAGACAATGATAATTTGACCAGAGAGATAGTGCTGAAATAGTGACACCCAAGGGCCAACATCAGAAAGAAAATAAATAGGAAAAGATAATGTAACAGTGCTGTTATGACAGTGCATCCGATCTGAAAAAAAAGTTTAGAAGAAGATTACGCTTATTACCTGGATGTGTGCCTTCACCTTTTAAAATCTATGGACATAACGAAACGAAAATCAAGTTCAAACGTTTATTGAAACAAATATTGTAAGTAAAATATCATAAGTAAATATGGATACCTGACATATCAGAAAAAATTCATTGTTAGTTTGCTATTACAATCCATTTTTTAAGTGAAGTACTCAGATAATGAAATAGTCTTTTTAGGATTCTGTGGTATCATTTTTTTTAGTTCATTGAGATATATTAATTATTGTCAAAATATTACATGTAAAGGTTAATAATGTAAGGTTTAACTGTTAGACAAAGGGTAAGATTTTAACCACTCTTAAAATAATGAAATTCTTTCATAAAAATCAATCAAAAGCTTACTTCATTCTGTATTTTATCAACTCCAATTAGAAATAACGTGTAAGCCAAAGAGAGACTCAAACATAGAAGCACTATGATCTTATTTATTATTCGGTTGACGTTGACTGTAATAGACCTGTAAAAATAAGAATGCACTTTATGTTTTCCTGTGATATAATCTGATTTATCATATAGTTTACATTGTAAAAATGTCTTGGCACAGTGGTACAGTGAAGCGCATGAAGTGGTAAAATTTTCCGTGTGAATGGAACGTTTTGATCTATATTTAATAAGAAGTTGATTTTCATATAATGACACATCCCTTTCCTTAGAAAGAAAAACTCGGAACACTTTGTTCATTTGAATGCATAAATGTGATAGCCAATCAAATTGACGTTCTACATAAAATACCGAGTTAGCATGTGTTCGACCGATACATGTGTCATGGTAACTCAAATAAACATAAATTCATAACTATATAGAAATTTGTTTCAGTACGTGCTTTTCAGAAGTCGGAACTCTTTAACTCTCTCTTATAACTTGAAAAATATCCATTTCAGCGTAACTCATGCTGTTTATCGCTATAAGAGTGGGATGTCCTAAAACATTACGACGAATATTTCTTTTTATTTCTAAAGAAATGAGCGTGTAATTATGCTATAATTGACGTTCAATACATGACTCAGAACGTTTCATCAAAACAAAGAAATTTAATACTTCAGTGCGCTTTACTGTAGAACATCTACTCTAGAGTCAGGTTGTAAGGTTCGAATCCCTTTATGGACCACAGAGACCGGTCCTTTGAATGAAGCCGTGTAAAACGAGGTCCCCTGTCATAGTTGATGCGGGCACTAGAGACATGCCTTACTACTAAATGGTCCTTAGTGCCACGTTACAAAAAGTTTAAAAAATTGACACTCTCTGAGTGTATAAATTAAGTGGGATTTTAAACAATAAACAAACAAAAAAAAAACCATCGTAAAATATTCAGTGAATGCAGATTGTTTATTAAATCGCTCACTTCCAGAAAAAGATGTAAATAATGGCCGTCAGCAAAGACAGAAAGATCGATATCGAACAACCAATTATGGAAATCCAATTCAATGCTTCTTCTTTGTCCTGTATCTGTAGAGATGAAAAGGCTATCTCCATCATAAAAGATAATATTATGCCGTTATTCTTGCTATAGTGTGATTATCAGAATATACTAGTTGTTGTTATCTGTGAAATTGTAGTATCAATATGCCAACGATATTTCAATTCGTACCCTTGAATATGGTCGCATCAGTACTGCAAAATTTGTCAGATGGTTGCATTCACAATGTAGATAAATATCATCTGTAGATAGTAATTTACATCCTCTGGTTGACCACCCACCAGTTCCGTTACTATAATATATATGTAATATTTTACCAGACATGATAGGAAATCATTATGTATTATTGTTTGTTTGAAAAAAACGTAAAATCACTGTTTAGTACTTACTTGAGTTGAAAGTCCCAAAATACACATTCGCTAGTTAAATTGTTAGTCTCCTAAATCCGATAGGAAAAAAGAAAAAAGTATCAAGAAACCATGCTTTTATTAATGGACGAATTATTCTTTAATATTTAAGGTCAGACCATATGTTCCTCAAAAATATATAATTTTTCCTGAGAATTTGTTACTGACGTATAGGTACTGAAAGAAGTTTCCGCATAAAAATTTAAGGTACCTAACAAGGCATTTGGACAAGATACCACAGGGTCATATTTCTTATAACATTTATGGGTAATCTTCTGAATGGCCTATATCACAATTTTTGGTATACTTATATTTAAAAACATTTTGAAAACAATTTAAATATCAGAAGAGAATGACAAAAAGTTTTTAAAGACTTTTTAATGTAATACCAAGAGATACAAAACATCTATATTAGGAACGTGTCCTCAGAACTTAATGTTGATTATTGATCAGATTTATACGTACTACTCCTTTTAAGTCTTTTATAAACTTTAAATGTATTGGTTGGTCTAATGTTCCTCCAAATAAAGGTTCTTTGAGAGTTAATGACATAATATCAGACGAAATATCGTATCCTGAATTTTCTGTCATTCTAAAAAAGATCAAACAAACACATCGATTATCTGATGCATGCCTTAGCTATAAATTTAGCGAATATGTGTAGATTTTTTCAGAGCTTCTTACCTTTTGTTATCAATTAAATTTTTCTCAAGTGTTATGTTCTCTTTCACTCTGGAATAAACAATTTGTCTTATTGATAAGAATATTGGCTATAATTTAAGCATACGTACATATCTCGATTTATCTAGAACTTCTTACTTTTTGTTGTCATTCAAATTTTTTGCCAGTGTTGTATACTTCACTGCAAGGTAGGGAATACCTAGTTTTTATTTGAAGAAAAGGTTATCTTTTTGCTTTCAGGACAGCTAAGAAAATATTGAATGAAAAATGGGTTGTATAAAGGAACTAATATTACTTTGATTAAAACCATTAGCTTGTACTGGAAACACTAGCGATGAAATTAGGGTGGTATTGTTTTCTGGGAAAATAACGGGTTGATCTGCTGGAATCTTTGCAACTGTAAAAACTAAGAAAATGGAATAAAAAATGATTATTGTCTTTAAAAAAATTTTTTTAAGGACAGACGATAAGTTCCTTAATAATATATACATGTACTTTTTTCCGAGATTTTGTCATTGACCTGATGCTATTTTAACAATGTTAACTCACCAAAATTTAGGTACTTAGACTACCTACCAGGCATTTGTGCAAGATACTAGTGGATGATGTTGCCAATATAATATTTTTGAAAATAACTCAAGTTTTTTTTTTATACAGTTAGAAACCACTTTAAATATTACATTCAATTGATTTAATTTAATGTTTATATATTACGAAGATATACAAAACAGATATCTTGGAAACGTGTCGTGAGACCTTAAGAAGATGAAAGTGGAAAACCAATTAAAAATAAATGTAACTTTTTTTTTTACTTTATTCGGTATTTAATCACCTTACCAATATTTTTTGTTGAGTTAAATATGATGCTTTCGTTCTCGTTGACCGTCTCTAAGAGATACAATCCTATTTTGTCAACTGTCTTGAAGATTTTATTGACTCTTGCACTAACCTGGATAATAATAAGAGAGTAATGTTTTATCCTCATTAAATACAGATATTGCTTAATTAATTATCACAATGATAATTACCTCCTTTGTAGAAGTGTTATTCCAAGCAGCAGTGTGATTTTCTGCTAGTATATTGTCAATTGTTGTCACAATCAGCTGAATGCCAAAATGAATAATGAAAATTTGTTGTTTACATGAGTGATGAGATGAGATTATAAAAACTTAATATCATTGACCTTATACTATGACATCTGTTTATGAGGAGACATTTCTCGAATTCTCGTACATTTATGAATATAGCATACCGACTTTCGAAGTGTAACGTTGGACCTATTGGAAACATCAACAATTTTATTCAGCAAATCTATTGAATTATCTAAGTCTTCAGGAGTTTGTTCGCTGTCTGATGAAAGTGTTTGTAAGTTTAGAAGTGCATGGTCTATCGTTTGCTTTATTTCTGTCTTTGATAAATTTCCTTGGAGAGCTGAATCGACCTAGAAAACAATTATACAAAATGCATTAGATGCCTTTTTAAAGTCTTTTTAGTAATGCTATTATGAAGTGTACAAACATTATTTTATTTACTTGATTGTTATAAATAATATACTACAGTTGTTCTTATGACATTATATACCATGTCTTTGATGTTTTCAATCCTCGGCACACCGTCCATGTGTGACATTTCATCATGTAATGGAGTTATGGGGACTAGAGAAGAGAATACCATTTAAAAATCAGCTTACTTTAAAAAGCTTTACTTTAAAAATTTATTTCAAACATGCGCTTGTAAATGTTTGTTTATATTATTGACACACACTCCATGTGTAAGTTTATGTGTGCCATGTCCTCACAAAAGGGAGTTTAAAAAGTCATCATTTAAAAATCAGCTTACTTTAAAAAGAGGTCTCCTTTTTATTCACTTATACACATATACATAACTACTGTTCAATATATATTAATTTAACATAGTATATGGAAAAAAAACCCATCCGATTTCTCTCTTTTGACATTTACGTCAAAAAAAATAGCACGGTAAAAGGAAATTTAATTTGTTGTTTTTACCGTAAGTTGTCACAGTTGTCTCCGTTGGTGGAGTTGTAGTAGATTCGTTTGTGACTAAAAACAAAACACAATTTTCATGTCAATTAAAATTTCGAATAACCAAACAACAATTTCATATAAATAGTCCCATATGAAAAAACAAAATAACGTCAATTGTCGTAACACTTTCTAACTAACAACCAAAGCATAATTTGTCAACAGAGGATATCTGTATTGAGAGATTTTATATTGGCTTTATCTGGGGACCTACTTTATCCAATGAATTGGAATTGTTCGTGAGGCTTGCCGAGCGAATATACACAATTTTAACGAGTAAGATAAAGCAAATATCAAATCACACAATTATAGATGTTCTATCTATCTCATACGACTTTTGATCTTAACAAAACTTTGAGAGTCCTCCTGCAAAACTACATGAATGAATTTTAATTCAAATTGATGACGTATAATTTGATGTCGTAGCACTGTTGATGTTGAACGGAAGAAAGTAGATCGTGTTCAAAATTTAGAATTTTTTTTATATCTGTGTCTTTAAAACAGTATTTGACAATTGCTGGGGTTTCAAATCAAACGAACTTCTGACTGAAAGTTGTAAGGACCAAGTGATCGTGGAAATTAACTCTTTGTACGAAGGCAGTACAAACGTAAATCGGGGTGTCTGCTATTTTTGATGTTAGGGTTATCATAATTATTTTGGGCTTTTAGACGAAATTGGTAATTATTTTCTAATTGTTAAATCAGTTAATTGTAATTTGGTAATTGGATTAATATAATTTAATTGGGGAAAGTTTAGTTTTACCAGCTTTGGGGATTTATTTACGATCATATATCTTGATTATTTCAGGATCCGATCGTATCTGAATTTCCAGTTGTTAATAATCTTTTATTCATTGAAAATTAAGTTTAATAGATACGTTTCAGCCATATATTTCGATTATTTCGAGATCCGGCTGTTTATTAGAATTTATTTAATATTGTGAAATTTGTCAGTAAAAGGGTGGTTAAAAGGCCTGGATATTATTTTTTTGCATTAAAATTGTTCATGTTGTTTTTGCATACTCAATAAATTTATAAAACTTAAATTTCGAGTTTAGAGTTGTTTACTCAGTGTTTAAAAAGGGAGTTTACTCCTGTCTTCTAGAACCACTATAACAATACTTAAATGAGATAGTCATTGGACGCTATCTCGCTACAATTATATATGTTTATTAAGAAAATGAAATATCAAGTAAAACTTTATCATATTTCTAATAAGTACAGGATAGAATGAATTCATTAAGATTTCTTCGACATGAAAAATATTTCGAATTCGAACTACCACTGATATTACGTGCGCAAAGGTAAATAAGAATATAATACACTGTTCAAGTAAAGAACATATATGAGCCCCTTTCCAAACTTTTTACCTTTACACAGATATCTCACATGTACCTATACCAAATAGACAATCGATTGATTGATAGTTAGTTGTTTAACGTTCCTCTGGAAAAATATTTCACTCATATTGAAAAGCCACCACTTGCTGATGGAGAGCTGCAAATTTTGTCCTATGCTCGGCACTTAGGGCCATTGAGCAGTGAAAGAGTTTTGTGCTAGCATCTACTGCAATACGGTGCCTCGGTATATACGGTCTCATTAGAGGGACCGGTCTCCACGTCCTATATTGGGATTCGAACCCGTGACGTAAGGATCAATCCCTTACTACGCGAATCTAGACCATACGCTCTAATCGCTGGCAATACGCTGGCGATATTGTCGATGAGTACTTGTAGTTTCTTAGCAAATATTTAAAATATGTGTCTTAATAAAATAAAAATTTCAAGTTTTGCAGATGCACGTCAATATAGGCAATGCTTTCTTGGAGCACATGCAAACTTTGTGATTCTTGATAATCAATGCGTACAAATATCTACAATATTTCCATCCTCCGCCCTTTTTTTTTTATTACGATATGTATATATTTATTATATATTTATTATCTGATTATATTGCACATACCGAGGGTAGGTCTATCGATCTATATTAATATAAATAATGTTAACAACAACCCTTCCTTAGTCCTATATCACCTATGTAGTACTTGTGTGATACTTTAGAAATAATAACCCATCCCAATTTTATAAATTGTGATTTTGTTCTCTTTTTCATGCACAATTTAACATATCATGTAAGTATCCTTTATATAATCGCTATTAATTTACTATATAAAAGGGTACTGAATTTAAAAAAGAAAAAAAAACTTGTTCATCATATCGAGAAAATACATACGTATATATAAGACTATGCAGACTAAGCAGCTTTCATGTTTAGAAAGGAAGAATTATCAACCGGCCTTATGATAAAATCTAAATGGAATCGGGACCGTATTTACTAGTATATTGCACATATATATTTTAAACTGATCCGTAAGCGTTTTATAATGTTATGCAAAAGTTCAAAAACTTTAATCGTGTGTATACGTATGTATAATAAAATTATGAAAAAAGTTTGTTTTCCCAACAGGCCATGACCAAATATCGGTGAAACCATTGTGACGTCATTTTTTGGAAAAAAAAATACGTACCTGTACTTCTAAATTTTTTAATCGATCATCTTTTACAGACAAAACATTTCAACTAAATATAAAATAACATTTTTAATAGATAAGGCGTCAATATTACTTTTATGTGAACTTTTTTTAAAAATCTACCTAAGGTACACATTAAATTTCTGTTAATCGGACAGTGTTGGAATAGTTAAGAGGGGACAGAAATACGATGCTTTCTACATGTAGATATAAAGTTCAATTAATCAGAATTCGACCAACATGTAAAATTAAAGGAGAGTTGAAGTTCAAAATATTGATGTAAAGACTTCATCCTATAAAACTACGATTTTTCAGCGATTCCTGGCAAGTTATATTACATGTACATATATTGCACATACCGAGGGTAGGTCTAAAGAGAACAAAATCACAATTTATAAAATTGGGGTGGGTTATTATTTCTAAACTATCACACAAGTACTACATAAGTGATATAGGACTAAGGAAGGGTTAGTTAAAAGATTTTAGACAGAAAATTCCTTCCTCACTTATTTAAATCTAATAATACCAATGCTGTTTTTTCGTTTTGTTTAAAATTCGTTTTATTCTGATGCGAATTCAATCAAAGCAATCTTGTATCCGTATGTGACATTCATAAAAATTTAAACTGGACTCTTTTAATCTATCAATGATAAATCCTTGCGTTGGGATAAATTTATTGTTAAACTGGTTAAGACGACCGAAAAGGAAAATGAAATATGCAAGGGTGAAATTTTACTGTTCACATAGATGAGTCTAGTGATGAAATTCACTTAATGTGTGATTGAAAGAATGTTTGAACTTAAAACAAGTTATTATTTTAACCGTAAGTCATGGATCTCATACTGTAAAATTACATATTTTCGTAGGGTCAAATTTTCGTGGTTGGAGGAAAACATGTTTGTTCATGGGGATTTGATTTCGTGGATGAAGAACTTTATATAGTTGTGCATATGAAAATTTACATTTCGTGGTTGGCATGAATTCGTAGGTCTCTTCATATAAGATGGATTATGATATATCTATACTGTTTGTCCTGTGTTAAGTATTTGAATATTTGATAACTGAGCTCTTTAAAATTTCGTTTTACATGGCACCTGATCCCGCTCTCATGTTTTTTTTTTTTTTTTTTTTTTTTTTTGCTCCGGATGGACTTTTGAGCTTGAATGCTGTTCGTTATCTTCATACGTTTCACGGTACAATTAATTCTAGTAAGTACCATTTCCACTTAATAGGTAATCATTACCTATCCGTTTGATAGTTGTGTCTTTGGGTGTTGTTGTTATCATTGTTGGTTGTTCACTTATTCCTGATGAAATGCTCTCTGTTATGTCCGATTTCTCTGTTAACAAAGATTATTTCTTATGTTATTTGATTAAGTTCAGAATTCATATGCATTATATTCATTATAATTTTATCAAATCAAGCTATACCGATGATTAGCGACTACGTAAGTCGACACTTGCAGTAAAAAAAAATTCCTAATTACACTCGCAATAATTATAATGAAATATGCAAGGGTGAAATTCTACTGTCCACGTATGAGTCAAATAATGAAATGCACTTAATGTGTGATTGAAAGAAGTTTTGAACATAAAGCAAGCAATTATTTTAACCGTAAGTCATGGATCTCATACTGTAAAATCACAAATGTTCGTGGTTTGAGGATAAAATGTTGGTTCATAGGGATTTGATTTCGTGGATGAAGAACTTTTAATAGTTGTGCATATGAAAATTTATATTTTGTGGTTGGCATGAATTCGTGGGTCTCTTCATACCTCGAAAACAACGAAAATTAAAACCCCATGAAAATAAGTGATTTCACAGTATATGTTTGTGTTATTATAATAATTTCTTATTTGTAAACATTGTATAAAATACCGTCACTCACTCTGACAAATGTATCCGCCATAGATGTTCCTGTCACAAGAGATGTCATTCCAAAGATAAGTATCATTTCTATACCATATATGTAAATAATCCTCTTTTCCTCCAGAGTTATCCGGCTCATCTGAAGGGAAAAAAATATTTCATTATGTTACTTTCATACTTATTCATATTTCATTATACTCACACTCAACCATGAACAAATCAAAGAAAATATCTATGTTAAATTTTAAGGTCATTCCAAGTCTTTTTTTTCTATTTTCAACGTCCTCATGCGCCTTGGTTTTATGATCATTATCCATGAATTTACGTATCCTACAGTGATATTTGCTAAATCCAAGATGCCCATGAATATAGACGAAACCAAAGTACTTGCAGCTAATTGCACTATTATAGATCTTTTTTTTATAATTCATTTATATCTCAGAGATTTTGGCACAAAATAAAGTTTCACTCTTTGTTAATTGATTTTTTAAATATTGTAATAAAATCACAAAGGGTGATTTTACATTATCAAACATTCATTGGAAGAAATTTGAATTAAACCAGGATAAATAAATATACTTTTCAGATACCAAATAGATTATATGGAAATAACGAACAGAATTGAAACTCAAGAGGCCATAAGAGATAATACATAGAAACAGAGCAAACGGGGATCTATAAACCATGAGAGGTGGGATTAGGTGCCATGGGGGAGTAAGCATTCCCTGCCGATCGGTGACACCCACCGTGTGCTCCTTGTCAGGATCGGGGAATAACGGGAAAAATAAAGAAATGTCTCATGGAAGCTAACAAAATGTTTATTTTTCTAATCTCCTAAGAGATGTTTAATACCGGTATAGTTTTATTTATAATATATTTGCAAAAAGGGCACTAATAAGCATTCTTTAACAAGAGGCCCATGGGCCACATCACTCACCTGAGCACAGTAGCTTAGAAAAAAAGCATAGATCAGTTCATCATTGAAAAGTTTAAACCCAATAGTGGTCCCAACCAATCCTTAAAGGCGAGAGGGTATGATTTGAAGAAAACTTGAATCTACACTAACTAAGGATGCTTGCATATGACTACCTGTGGCTTTATTCCCTTTGCAATTAAACTTACATTGTGGCCCCGTCCTACACCCACGCATCATGACTTGAACAAACTTGAATCGACACTACTTGAGAATGCTTCCATATGAATATGAATAATCATGGCAGTACCATTCTAGAAAAGAAGATTTTTAAAGAATTTTTCTATATATTTCTATGTAAAATTTGGATTCCATGTTGTGGCCCCTCCCCTACCCCATGGGTCATGATTTCAACAAACTTGAATCTTCACTTCCCTATGATGCTTCCATTTATTTATGACTAATCATAGCTTTGCTATTTTTGGGAAGAAGATTTTTAAAGTTTTTTTTCTATATAATCCTATGTAAAACTTGGATCAACCATTTTGGCCCTATCCTACCCCTGGGGGTTATAATTTGAACAGATCTGAATCTACACTACCTGAGGATGCTTCCATATAAATATGATCATTGATGCCTTTTCTATTCTTGAAAAGAAGATTTTTAAAGAATTTCCCAATATATTTCAATGTAATAATTTGATCAGCCATTGTGGCCCTACCATACCAATGGGGGTTATGATTTGAACAAATCTGAATCTACACTACCTAAAGATGCTTCAATATAAATATGATCATTCATACCTTTGCTATTCTTGAAATGAGGATTTTAAAAGAATTTCCCTATATATTACTAGTATGTAAAACTTTAATCGGCCATTGTGGCTCCGCTCTACCCCCGGTGGTAATGATTTGAAAAAAAAAAAAACATGAATCTACATTACCTGAGGATATAATAAATATCTTTTTTTGAGAAGAAGATTTTTAAAGAATTTTCCAATATATCAGTAAAAGACCATTGTAGCCCCATTCTTAACCCAGGGGTCAGGAATTGAATAAACTTGAATCTACATTACCTGAGGATGCTTCCTACCTATAAGTTCCATCTTTACTGGCACAGTTGTTCTTGAGAAGAAGATTTTTAAAACATACCGCCAAATTTTCACTATTTCTGAATTATCTCCCCTTGAATAAGGGCGTGACCCTTCATTTGTAAATGTAAATCCCTTTTACCTAAGAATACTTTGTGCCAAGTTTGATTGAAATTGGCCTAGTGGATCATTAAAAGAAGACGAAAATGTGAAAAGTTTACAACGACAACGACGACGGACAACGGGCAAATTTTGATCAGAAAAGCTCACTTGAGCCTTCGGCTCAGGAGACCTAAAAACGATGGGTTTTTTTTCCCGTTGATACAACTTAAAGTGCATAAAATATTTTAAAATACAATGAAGCGCATTGAAGGGGTAAAATTTTCTGTTTGGGTAGAACGTTTTGTTTTTTTTTTAAATACGCCCATTTCTTTAGAAAGAAAAAATCGGTCAAATGATTCAATCGAATACCTGTAGAACAGGTATTCTATAAATATAATAGCCAATCAAATTGACGGACTACATAAACACCGAGTAAGCACGTGTTCGACTGATACATGTGTTATGCTTACTCCAATTAACATGATAAAATCAGTTGTAAATCAGTTTAAAAGTAAAAGTTTAAACCCAATAGTGGTCCCAACCAATCCTTAAAGGTGAGAGGGTATAATTTGAAGAAAACTTAAATCTACACTTACTAAGGATGCTTGCATATGACTACCTGTGGCTTTATTCCCTTCACATTTGAACTTACATTGTGGCCCCGTCCTACACCCAGGGGTCATGACTTGAACAAGCTTGAATCTACACTACCTGAGAATGCTTCCATATGAATATGACTAATCATGGCTGTACCATTCTAGAAAAGAAGATTTTTAAAGCATTTTTCTACATATTTCTATGTAAAACTTGGATGAAATGTTTTGGCCCGCCCCTACACCAAGGGTCATGATTTCACTTGACCCTTCGGCTCAGGTGACCTAAAAACGATGGGGTTTTTTTTCGTTGATATAACTAAAAGTGCATAAAATATTTTAAAATATTATGCAGCGCATTGAAGTGATAAACTTTTCTGTTTGGGTAGAACGTTTTGAGTTATCTTTAAATACGCCCATTTCTTTAGGGGGTCAAAGGATTTGAACTTAAACCTAAAATATTTTAAAATACACGCATTGAAGTGGAAAATTTTCTGCTTCCTTATATGTTTAAATCATTTACTGGAAAAAATCGGTCAAATGATTCAATCGAATACCTGTAGAACAGGTATTCTATAAATATAATAGCCAATCAAATTGACGGTCTACATAAACACTGTGTAAGTACGTGTTCGATGATACATGTGTTATGTTTACTCCAATAAACATGATAAAATCAGTTGTAATTCAAATCATAATTATGTACAAATTCGTTACAATGCTTGTTTTACAGAAGCGAGGACTCTATATATGCATGTAGCTCTTTCTTATTTAAAAATCTTCATTTCAGTGTATTTCATGTTGCTTGTTGCGGAGAGTGGGTTGTCCTAAAACATTACGACAAATATTTCTTTCTCGGTTCTAAAGACATGGGCGTGTCATAATGTTATAATTGACGTTCAATACATGACAAAGAACGTTTCATCCAAATGGAAAATTTCACCACTTCAATGCGCTTCATTGTATAATCTGCCTGGAAATGTAGGAAGCCAAACCCGACAGGCCTATAATTTTTTCATAAAGAAAGTATTCATTTTCTAGAAACTATCAACCACTCCATATATAGGTTCTCGCTTGCGCAATTGTATGCAAAATACACTACTATGGTACAAATATAAAGGAAAAAACAATTTTGACAGGTTTTAAAAATTGATAAACAAATATATATCCTGTAAGTTCTTTCAAATTCATCGATTCATCCGTCCATTTATTCCATTCTCTAGAAAAAATATTCTATTTTTCATACATAAAGAAATATAAAGAAAAAATGTACTAATAAATCTGAATTACAGTTTCATTAAGATGTAATAAATCTAAGAGTAGAGACCTACTTATACGGTGGTAGCATTATATTTCATGCATTCACTTTTTTGCCTGACATAAAATACATCTCTACGAGTAATAAGTCTGAGTTAGAATCTAAAGGTCAAACAAAATGTGATCTCAAACTAACAAACTTATAGGAATAATAAAATTGAAATTGATTTTACTAAAAACAGCTGTTGTCAATACTCCTTGAAATACAATTTATTCATAATCCATGTTTTACTTCAATTATCAAGACTTTTTGTCTAGTATGCCTATACTTTTAATACAAAATTTAATGCATTCAATTTTGTTAAGCTGTTTAAGTCCCAATTTATGTATATATATGCAAGTAAACCTAATTCATTGATAAATAATTAGGATGTATAATAACACATTTGAACAAAATCAATTGTAATTTTTAGTCACATGACGGCCATTTAACTTTTTTTTTAAATTGTCAAATATTGTTAATCCCATTTTATTCGCGAGAAATTTTTGCGTTATTACCAGAGACAATGTGCCAGCGAAATTATATATTAAGATTTTAAAGAGCAATAAACATAATTCGTGAAAATTTTGTTTCACTTATAAAGAGTTAATGACAATTTCGCGAAAAAAAGGTGTCGCAAAATTCAGTGATCTACAGTATAGCAAATTATCATCTTCTTTAATGCCTAAGACTTGTTCGTATATTATAATAAGACTGAAGGAAAAGGGGAACCTTCAAGATGTTGAGTCAGGTGCATAAGAGGATTGAGCACCCCTTTTACCAGGTCACACCCACAGTGAATATACAGTTCAGTACCGTTTAGAGTAGGTCTGGGGTATGTAATTGTTTAAAGCAAGTCTGTTTTTCCCATGTGTTTCCTTGCTTTCAGTAGTATTCCGTGGTTTTAAAATTTTTGCACAAATGTTAAACTCATTTTCTATGTAGTTATGACCTCTGTTTAATTACATATAAGACGAATTTTTAATTAAATTTTTGAAGTGAAATCTAACCCCCTTTTCAAAATTTTACCGTGATTGATTTTTAATACTTGGTCGTTCTTCTTTGTGCATAGTAACATAAATAGGATAACATTATATTGTATTTATTTGTTGAAATATATATATTTAAGAGATATAGGAACACAAAAATGCACACATAAAATTCATTATATTGCTTTCTTTTTCATAACAATCGTCAAAGAGAGTTAAATATCTTGAATATCGTCCGTTCCCCCATTCATTTGGTCCCGTTATTTCAGGTAGAGTAGATACATTCTCCTTCCTTTGGAGAACACTTATAAAACTGTATAAAAACAATGTATAACTGTGAAAGAAATCCCTTTATGTACCTAACGATACCAACTGTATACCTGTATGCCTTTTCTATAAATGATAACTCATAAATCGGCATTAGTTGGTCATTTTGCACACTTCAGTTATCTGTCCTTAAAACACAACATCGTATAAGGAACTTTTTAAATGATTTAATTAGATGTATACCTAGGAAATAATCTTTTTTTTTGTTGTTATTTCATGCACTTATAAATCTATCTATGAAATATTTTATACTATATGTGCAACTTGAAAAATTAGTGAATGGACTTATATTGATATAGAAGACAAAATATTCCTTAGTCCAATTGAATACAGAACAAAGTTCTTACAACTGATATGAAACATGTAAGTCAAATTATTAGTGAGTGTATTCCTATTAATAGAGACAAAATAAACCCAGGAAGTTATTTCATATATAAGTAATTGCAAAACATGTTAATCTATTTCAATCTTGTGTCCTTGTTTACATGATGAACGGAGATTTAACAATCTACGTAAACTATATCTTTTTCTCTATCTTAATTTAATGTTAATGAGATTTAAAAGGAAATAAAGCATGCCAAAATTTAAAAAATAAAAATAAAATAAGATGGAAATTAACTTGACAAATGTTGGTGTCTTTTATTCAAGCATCCCATTCCAAAAATAAAGAAAAGTTATTTAAAATAAAAGTAAAATAAAGTTTATCGAGAAAAACAAACAGCTCTAAAAATTAATTACACTCTTTTATTCATGCATATTTTTTGTTCAATATAATGCCGGGGGTATATGTGAATTATAAACACATCTAGAGTTTCTATTTCTTCGAAATCGAAAGGAAAATAATTTTGGTTGCACAAATTCACGACCTGCTTTAAAAGCAAAAAATATATACCTATGATATAGAAGGTTATTAGTGGGTAGAGTGTTTGATCTAGAGTCGCAAAGCAAGAAGTTGAACTTTACATCGCAGGATCGAATCCCACTTAGGTACGCGGGGACTGTTCCATCGCACGAGACCATTTGAACCTAGATCCAATGTCGGTACTGTAACGAAAAAGACCCCTACTGCTCAACTGCCGTGAGTTCCGACTGTACGCCAAAATATGCAGCTCTCCACCGACAAATGGTGGCGTCTCCATAAGAATGAAAAATTCTCGAGAGGTACATCAAACAAGAAAGAAACATACGATTTTTAAACAAGATAAGAAAGTCTGTCGTTAAATAAGTGATTCCGAGTTCCTTTGTAACTTTACCAAGAATGTAATCAGATAAAATCATAGATTTATTAATGCTTATTTTCTAAGGCACTGGACCCTATAATGTTTATGATGTGTGTTTGCCAATTTGTACCGGTTAAATGAATTTTATGCTTGAGAACTGTTCGTTATCTCAATATCACATGCAATATAAGAAGTAATCAGATTTATAGTTTTGGAATATAAGTCAAAATTGGAATTGAAATATAAGTCATTATTAAAATATTTAAAACACATATAGTATTGAAAAATATTTTCCATGGAAAATGAAAAAAAATAACCTTGATCCCAAAAAGTTTGGTTCATCTGAGTACCATCTTTCCATGTCCAGTTCCCAGAGGATGACTTCTTACCTCCAATGAAGTAGGTCAAGTTTTCATTTAGATTCCCTAGAGAAATAGAATAAGTCCTCTCTACAATAATTTTAACTTTTCACTATAAACATATCCTGTTCAAACTGTACCTTTTTTAACTATTCGATTTGTACTCACTGAGTGTACAGTTTTCGCTGATGACCGTGGCTAGAGTTCCTCCTGCTGCTTCACATTTCCCGTCAGCCTTCTTCCAATTGCCTATTTGTTCCTCAAATAGATATGATTGTTCATTTTCTGGACATGGATTCCATGAGCAGAATATTTTAGAAACTAAAACAATAAAAGAGCAATTAATTAATGAATCAAATTCACAGATCTAAATAGAACCAAAATAAAAGGAGATGAGAAAAGGTAAAGTGTATGAAAATACATACCTAGGAAACAGAATAAAAACGTAAGTTTGATTTTAAACATGCTCTCGTGTTGAACAGACACAAATCAGGAAGTAGCGGGGCTAGAATAGATTCTTTCTTTTTTACGTCATGACTATGTAGAAAAATATGTGCACTTATAGTTCGTCATGTTTGTAAATTTCTTCCACACTAAAAGTTGTTGTTTTCCAAACAATATGTGCCTTTTAATGAAATGTAAGAAAACCTGTCATATAGCAATAGCTAAACCTCTCTCTCTCTCTCTCTCTCTCTCTCTCTCTCTCTCTCTCTCTCTGGTATTCAGTTTTACTAAATTGTATGTAATAGAAATTTGAGATCTTGTGTTTTAAATGTTTATTTACTTCTTCTTTTTTAGTTCAATGGGGAACATTTTCGATTTTTATTTTTTTAAACAACTTCCTGGACCACCAAGTTTATGTCGTCAATTGCCTCTGGTTCATTATTTTTCATTTTTCAGCTATTTATCCAAAACCTCAGGCTATTTCCAGAAAGATACCCTTTCATGAACTGGGTTTAGATTCAAAAGAAGTACTTACTAAGCGCGTTTTAGTGGAAAATCGAGTAAAAGTAGGAAAATATTCATTGAAAGTTTGCCACAAAAGGCAACAAACGATGTAAAATTCATTAATCGGCATTTTCTTATGAACAGAATGATGAGGACATTTGTTGTCACAATAAGCAAAAGAGGAAATTGATTTTATATAATTTGTCAATTTCTGTGCCTTTACATTAAACATATTGAAATAACGAACGGTATTCAAGATCAAATTTCCTTAAAACAATACAAAGTAGGAACAGAAAAAAGGTTGAATAATTTTAATCAATTTATGAACATTTATTTTTTCAAACAGGCATATTATCCTACGTCCTAACATACCGGTATTTCAAACTTTAATGTTTAGTAAAATACCTTTCTATACTTCTGATTATTGAAAATGTTTCATCATTTAATTTGCAGGTTTATTCTTTTATGTTTCATCTCTTCTCAAAAAATTGAATGAATACGAAAAGTAATCATATACTGTATAGGGGATTAATTTCACGGGTTGTAATTTTCACGTTTTTATATCATCTGACACGATCGCGGTATCTTGAATTCGCGGAATTGATGTAAAATAAAAGTTACCTCCCTTGTCTATATCCTGTTTAGCTGCATGTAAACGACATCAACAGGGTAGGTTAATATAAAATTGTTAGAATTAATAAATAATTAATTCAAGTGCAGTTATAAAACGTTCTTGACTTTAAACGTCTAATGAATTTCCTATATGCATATTACGATGAGTGCATGTACACCCCTAGATCTGCAATACAACGTTAGCGCAGCGAAAAGCCACTGGGCGGTAATAAATGTGTTAATGTAGGTCATCGAAATAATATCCTTCCAAAATCTTCAGTAAGTTCGATAGTTATTTGAATGTTTTTAAAACGTCGATAAAAATTAATATGCGTGTTAATGCAGGTACAAGTAACTAATACACTTGGTAACATTAGCTACGCACGGGTAATCAAAACCATCCATGGCCCACGTGTTTTGTTGACGATACATGTTGCGTTGGCTATTAAAACAGCTTTTTAACAAATACAGGTTATTATCTGCTGATTAGAATTAAAGTAAAGCGTGATAATTAAAATAGTTGAATGACGTACATGTATATAAACCTTCCGTTTAAAAATTATTGAAAATTTAAGTTCACGGATTTATGATAAAGTACATTTTTGGTAAAAAAAATTATTGAATTTAAAAATATTTCATAGTCCTAAAATGAACATAAATGTTATCAGTTCTCTTGTTCAGAAATTATGGTTTGAAAATTTTAAAGCTCAATGGTATTATGATATTTTATTTAAAACATGTTTATTACACAAACTGAATACGAAACAATGTCAATATGATGTATATACATGTATATATACATGTATATATATATATATATATATATATATATATATATATATATATATATATATATATATAATATATATATATAAACCTAAAGTTTATTCTCAAATTTTCAAATAAAACAGAGATTATTGAAAAAAAAAAAACACCGTTAACAAATATTAGATTTATTACATCTTTTAACCGAAGAGAAGAATGCAATTTCTCAGGAAGTGATGTATCCTAAAACCCCGTCTCACCTTCCGTTTAGAAACAACAAAGTTCCATTATATGATAAAGTACACTTAAAGACTATACAAACTATTCTTTAAAAAAAAAACAGACAGGAATAAATTATTTTATAAAACGGAAATAAATTCCTTAAATAGAGAATTACATTCAGATTTTTATCTTTCAACGAGGTTCACTTCTCAGCTTTTCAGCTGATTTTTGTCTTGGACTCTATATAAAACAAAATCTACATTGTTTTAGTTCTTACAATAAATTTGGATTCTATAGTGCCAATTAAACTATATTCACTAAAGACCCATGATTAAATTCCAAAGGAAAACATTTAGTTAGGAACTATATTATGTGGCGGAAGGTTTTACAGAAGGAAAAAATATTTTAAAAAATCCTCTTTCAAAGTACTTAGTGTTGGTAGGTTTGAATTCCTTTTTTTAAATGCAGGCTACACGGAAAGACATGTTCTATTATGCTGGTCTTAAATTCTATATTAAATTATCTGTCGTGAATTTTATCACCATATTTGGCAATTATATCAAATATATCATGACAATTCTTTAACGTGAAACATATTTATATGCCATTTTCGTAAATATCAGTGGTCTTGTTATTTAAATTCTTATTCGGGAAGGCAGTTCAAATTCCGGAGGAGTCTAGAAAGCAAATTAAAAAAAAGAAAGGTTTTTGAGAGGAAAGAAGTAGAATCGTGAATCCACTACATTAAATTTCTTCATGACAGCGTCCAAACTCACACGCCATGAATAGTAAAGGAGTTTTGGGGATAAACAGAAAAGTAATATTTTGTCACACAATAATATTCGCCAGATCTCTCACCCTATGACTTTGCTCATTTTCCAAACTTAAAAAAAACACCTTTCAGACAGAAGAAACAAGTTCAGGAAATCATAGGATCTGCCATAACCTAGTATTCGTTTGATTGATTGTATATTGTTTAAAGTCCTTCTCGAGAATTCCTAGTATACGAACGACCATACTTCATAAATGAGTTCTAAAGACAATCAGACATTGGATAAAAATGATTCGGACATGCGTTATAATTCAAAGAGATATTTTAGTTAAATCATTCACACTAAATTATAGAAAAGCATCTTTTGCTTTTTTCGGAGCACGGAGCACCTCTCGTATTTCTGTGCTAGCGGTATAATGTACACGAACAAACAATGTCGATGCGTTATCGTACGATACGTATTCTTGTATTGTCAAACAGAAAGTAAAAGAGACCCCAAAAAGTCGGGTAAATATCGACGACGTATCTTTCCTTTTGCCAAAAAGGATACCCTGATAATATATTGGTTGGATTGCATTCATGTACGTCCAACAAGATAAAAAATATGCATTACATTACATTCCTCTTCATTACACCAGGAATGTAGATCAAATCTTCACAGAGAGAGAGAGAGAATGAGAGAGAGAAAGAGAGAGGGATTCATATCATAATTAAAAATAATCATATCCTTCTGGGTTATTGTTCGCTCTAGTGATCTTTAAGAATAGTACATATGTGTAGCAATATTTAAGATGAATAATTTTCAACGTATGGATTTGTTGTCAAAGATTTCCAAAATGGCAAATAATCCCAATCAACCTTATTATATTAATTCATCTGAAAACAAAACGATATAATATTTTCAAAATTATAAATTATTATATGTTTTTTTTTAAAAGGAAGGTAAAATTTCGGTAAAACCTCAACTTGCCGACTGACTTTTTAACACTTTTAAACACAAATACAAAATAGGAGCAGAGCAAACACGGACCTCCAAAACTTCAGAGTTTGGTCAGTTGCTATGGAGGAGTGAGCATTCCCTGCCGACCGGTCACACGCGTCGTGAACTACTTGGCGTGATCGGTTAAAAAGAGAAATATCCGTCGTCATTTCAATGTAAATAATGGCCGAATAATAAGTACATGTATGAAGAAGTTCTGTCATCATTAGCTGAATGGTAAATTGTATTTGCTGACAATGTCATTGTTTCGACCAAAGAACTTTCGAAAGGATAACTTTAAATGAGACTGATGTTTCAGCAACTTGTCTGTCAACAAATTACCTTGTTGTAGAAATTGTACATACGCAGATCATGCTCTTGAGTATCGAATCAACTGAGAGATCTATATAAACCTCGTATGCAGGTGATAAAGGTTTGTAGTGTATTGCTGCATAAGTAATTGAAGTTGACAATTGCAAAATTAAAGTCATTCGGTTTATCATAAAGCATGATTGTAGGATAACCATTAACGTCTTTCTTCAAATAAAATACCCCTATATGAAACAATTTATGTGTCTGGCTTTGTTGTATCTTTTATACCAATCTCACTCCTCCATGGCACCTGATCCCACCTCTAATATGTTGGAGGGCCGTTTTTGCTCTGCTCCTATGTTGTATTGTTTTATGAACTGTTGAACTTGAATACTGTTTCTTAACTGCATATTTTTCAGTAAATCATATAAAATCCTTTTTTAAGAAAACAAATGAATTTCGTCTTACGTTTATAACACAGGGTGTTCGAAAATATGGTTATGTATCTTTTTTGAGATTTCATATATATGGAAATCATTATTAACAAGATATTAGTTTGTCGGTTTATATGTATGAATTGTGTATGGGTTTCTCTATTTGTCCGATATTGACACGGCGGGATCTTGACTCCTCTTTTGCCCTGATCCCACCTCTGATTGCTCTGAGGATCAGTGTGGCTGACAATTGCAAGGTGGTTACATGTGCCTACACACGGCTGACCCCGTATGTAAAATAATAACATGGCAAAAGATCAACTCAATTTAGTGTCTATGACAAATAATATAGTATTGAGGCTCTTTTTATTTCTAACATAGAAATAAATATCAATCTTGCCCTCCAAAAACAAAAGTAATCAAAAATTAATAACGATTCAAAATCTGGATTAACAGTCAAGCTTTCATTATTTAACAAACACTCCCAATTAGTTTTGTTTGGAGTTATAAATATGT